GTTGAGTGCAGATCATACTGATGTGCAAAAAGAGAACAATGGTTCTGGCTCACCTAAAGCGTTGGTGGGTAAAATTTGTCAAGGTAAATTATTGCATTCTTCGTAATAGCCTATGGAGCATATACTAGAATATACCTGCTGAAATATCTACATTTCTTGTGCTAGAGACTCACTGACATAAAACATATATCCAACCAATATATCACCATTGATATATATATTGCATAAACATTATTTATGCTGTAATAACCCAAGAATGAACGTTTATTTTCTTGACCTGAACATGATTTGTCCTGATTCTATGATGCCTCAATCCACCCGAAATCCTCAATTCTTTGTGTTTCTGGGCCAATGTCTTGAATTTGCTGTGATAATTTTTCGCCTATCACAAAGGACACCACCCCACCAATGTTTTAATAAACCACACAACTGCCACATTATTCTGCCTTGGTTGAGTACTTCCTAGTCGAATGATGATATCTCGTGGAATCGCCAGAAATACACATTCAGAATTGGTGCTACTTCTTTTTTGACGTTGTTGCAGCTATCAACAACGTAATGGACAAATGATGGAAGAGTACAAGCCATGAAGGACATTGCAAAGTTTACTGGTTCCTACATCCAGGGTTACTTAGCATTTTACCTGCTTGTCAAAGAGTCAAGTTACATGTAGTTTACCATTTAAACTGAGACGTGTTACTCGAACACATCATCCTTCTGTAAAGCGGATGTCGAAGAGCCATAACGTATGTTATAATAGTGCAACATTGTAGACCAGTATCAACGTTTAAATTATACTTTTTTTTAAACAAACAAAAAAGTGAATTTCACATCTCCTGTTTACAGCCCTGGGCTAGAAGTGGAAATGGCACAATTATTACAGCGTAGACACTGTAACTGACACGTAGCACAATCAACAGTGCTTTGAAACTTATTTCAGACTCAATAACAACTTCCAGTTGTTTCATTGGCCTCCCTTGGAAATAATCTGTTGTATCTTACTTCATTGGTTGTCACCTTGATAAATAAAGAGGCACCGATATAAACTGGAGATGACTGGTGGTTAGGACACTTAATTGCCTGTGGCTCTTGTGTTTGATGATATTGATCTTTCCTCAACACCCTGCTAATATTGGCCGATGGTGCGAACCAATACAATTTAAATTCCTTGGGCTACTTTGCAACTGGGCTGGAGTTTTTATATCAGCTGCAATGCACATATTAGCAGTTGCCTAAGTGGACAAGAAAAAAAAATACTCGCTATGTTCATAATTACTACCACCTTATAAAATAAATATGTACCAGGGTGTATCAATAAGTAAAGAGATTCTTAAGAGTTTTGTAATCAGGAGGTGGCCAGGTGGTTCAGAGGTCAGAGCAACTGAGCTGGAAACCACTGAGATACTGTGCTGGAATCCAGGTTTCAGCTGCCCGTGATTAAACCGGGTTCTCGAGTGGAGCGAGGAGTTGGTCTCAACCTGGTCACCAATGACTAGAAAAAAAGTCATCGTACTAAATTTTATTTTGCACCTTCATTTGACAAAATCAAACACTCTCATCTCAATGCGCAGCCTGCGGACAAGTGTGCCCGCCAATGTGTAAAGGGTAAAAAGGCCGCTTGAAGGAGTTTTCAGAGGTCCTTCCATTAGCTATTACCTGATTAACTCTAAGTTGTCTTGTGGTTGTTGTTGTTGTTTGACTTGCATCCCACTGGGATTTTTGCGCACAGCGTTGGTGTTCGGTGTTTTTTCTGCAATATTTTGCTGTCTTTTCTTGGATTTTCTGTTTGCACTCAGTCACATATTCACTTTAAGATGTTTTTTGTTCATGTTTTTGTTTTTTGTTTGTTGCGGTTGCACCCGATTCAAGAGCCGAATGGCTCACAGGGCTATACCTAATAAATGAACTTGAACTCGGTTCACTACTCAATGATATTTCCAATGACAGTCTTCATGTCTTGATATGACGCTAATAGCACAATTGGAATGAATTGCGGGAAAAGGCAATAACCAAATAAATATGCATATATAACCTGTGTAAGTGTGATTTGGGTAAAAATTGCGTAATGAAAGATGCATGATCCTAGCAATTATGTGAAACTTATTTTTAGATTGGCAGACATCACGTGATCAAAGACCCTTGCACATTTGCACAACAAGAGTAGTGTGCTGTTCTTCACTTTTGTTCTCTGAGATTGAGATTTATTAAGCAAAAATGCGGCAGTACAGTGACAGCTGAATGAATGGTGGTAATGTTTACAAATTGGTGGAAACGCTGCGATCAGTGCTTGAGCACGTGTCTGATGACAGCAGAAGTGGTAGATGAGTCGATGCTGCAACTCCAGCTGACAGTTTTTTTTTACGTAAATTTTTAGATGAAGCCTGATTAATATTCACCGTAATTGCTGCAGACTGGTAAAAACGGGAGAGATGTTTCAGCACGACCCCGAACACCCACACACTGCACGCCCGGCAAAACAATTGTTGGGAGAGCTTGGATGGCATGTTCTGGAACATTCTACATCGGGGCCAGACTTAGCCCCTTTGAACTTCCATCTGTTCTGACCTTAAAAAGAATCTCCACGTTCAACATGGTTCGAGGCTGTGAAAGCAGCGCTATGCTAATGGCTTATGGACCAACTCAACGACTCGTATTCTGTTGGCATTAAGTTGCTTGTGGGCCACTGGGGAAAAAAACGTGATGATGTAGAGAATATATTACGTCGATGCGAACAAATGTTCTCTGAAGAATAACATTAGCCATTTTTGTTAAATAATTAAACATCCTCGTATAATGGATTTACGTTTGAGGCATTGGCCCTTCTTTCTGACACGGAGACGACAGAGAGATTGACTTATAGCCAGAGAATGCACATTAATCGGTGGTACCTTCATTAAGTGAACACGTGGAACACGCGCGTGATTAGGTTTCAAATAACATATATTGAGTATCCAAACACTCACGCACTCACAACAACAAAAATTTATCAAGGTGCAAACCTGAAATTGTTTTCTCATACCACTGCTGGTGGAATCGCCCCTCTAGAGGGAGCTCAAGAGAGCCCCTATAGACGGTGTTTTTGGCCTAATCTTCCACACTGGCCGGACATCTTGAGGGGAATTGGAGTATTAGATCGACACTAAGCATGGGAAAAACTAAGGTAAGTTAAGTCACGTACTGGGATTATGGAAATGCTTTAATGGGACACTTGGACCGGGAGGAGCAAAGGAATGCCACTGTGTAGATAAGCCCATTGTTACGTAAAGCAACGCACCTAATTGATCGCAACGTTCGCCTTACCATATACAGTCCAGCATGTCTGTTACAAGGCAGTGGAGACTGACGAAGGTGGTGCTATTTTATTTGTGCGTGCGTTCTACCGCCAATGTACCCTCAATTTCGTTCGCATTTGATGAATACTTAAGAAAATGTCTTTGGTCCCCTTGCAACAGTGGCGCATTAAATCTGCCTGTCCCGCGGTACTGTAATCGGGAGTTGAACTTGACCTTCTGTGGAGGACGCGTGCCTTAGACAATGCAGTCTCTTGGCTACAGCTCCGCAAGTCTGGTGTTCGCTAAACAAAAAAAAATCGTTCTCAAATCTGGTACAATAATAACAAAAGGCGGCGGCGGCAGTGTGGTCCACACTCCTCCCCTTCCACACAGCCACAGAGAGAGAGAAAGAAAAATCCAACCCGCGAATTAAATCGAGCTGGTTTTTTTGTGCGTTACTCGGGCACCATCATCACAGTTGCGCTCCTAAATTCGCCAGATGTGAACGATGTTTTTTTTTTCCCCACGCGCTGGTTACATAACACGATTCAATGGGGAGGGTTTTGGGGTTGTGGAGCGAGGTGGAAAAGGGCGGTTGTTGCACGCCACAATAACATTCTGCAGAGAGGCCCATACTGTAGATCGTCGTGTGTGTGTGTAATGAATATAGCGGTGTTACGTAACAAAGCACACCGTGAAACATTGACACATTGTACGCATTCTCAATAGGCAGCCTGTTAGGACGGCACAGAGGAGCGGAATGTGTGGGACCCGTTGCCAACCTTCCTATCGTGAGCAGGGCTGCTTTGCTCGCCCCTTTGTGCGGAATGTTTATATGCTGGGGATAAGCACAGTGCGGATTAAACAAGGGCGCAATTTTCTCACGTGGTTCAAGCACGGACGGACAAGATAGCGGGCCTTGGGAAGAAGGAGAAAAAGCCTAACTGTAATCACCGCTGCTTGCCAACCAAAACACGTGTCTGGCTGGCACTCATCCATTCCATCACAATTGTGCACAAACGGCTCGCATGTATGCGCAAAGGATGGCGATGCATGTGGAGGCATACACTCATCTCAAGGGGTCAAGTTCAAATGACAATAATTGATTGATTGATGAGCAGTGCTTTCGCCTGGGTATAAGCGTGTGCGTTGCTGTGCTGATGCCACAGCATGAGAATGCGGTGGTCCTGTGGCATTCATCTTATTAAACAAATATCCAGCAGCATTTCACCTGCGCATGTCCCAGTTCCAGGAATCTCACCCACCGCAATCCGCCAGTGTCTCTTTCAGTTGCGTCTCCCAGTGTTACTTTCCACGCACGGGCCCTTACGCACTCCCCACGCATCTCGACGTCTCTCTAAAATAGTCTCCTCGTAATGTTAGAGCGCAACTTTAATTGGATTGTAGCCACGTCTCAAAAATACTCGAGCGATTTCATCACGCAATAAAGCAGCCCCCCCCCCCACCCAAACCCACCACCACCACCACGGGAGATGTATCGTCCCTGTCAACGCATCACTCGATTTTTTTGTTTTTACAAAAGCATACGACCGCAATCTCTCCCCAGCTCTTCACCACACACGGGGCACCACTTTGGGTCGCGACTCCCACGTGCCAATTGCCATGCAACTCTCCAGGTGCGCTCACGCGCGCGTGTCAATCAATGCTGGCATCCCCCGTCTCCCTGTTCCCTTTTCCTCCTGCAGCCGCCGCTTCCTCCTCTCTTACCTTCCCAGAGCAGGACGAGTGTCCCGAAGGCGACTTGCAACAAGGCGATGCTGCTGCTGGTGGTGCCGCCTCTTCTCGCCATGTGAGAGAGATGTGGGGGGGGGGGGGGGGTGATCGCAGGACGTAGAGGCTATGGTTCGCTGCTGGTGCCCGCTACTCCTTTGTGCGCACGCAGCAGCTACTACTGCTGCTACAGTCGTGAGAGATTCACCTTGAGCACTGTCACTTTCTGCCGTCTCACTCGTCGCTGATGCTGCTGCAGCTGCTGATGTTGCTGTGTCTGCTGTCGCCACTGCCGCTCAGCAGCACATGGCGCACGACACCACCCTGGCCGCGTAGCCGCCCCCCTCCGCACTCCGCAAAGCTTCGCTACTCTCCATCCAGACGCGCTTCGCCACCACTCGCCGATCTCTCACTCGCCCACCACGCTTCCTTGCACCACGAACTGTGATCGTGGCCGCACGGGAGATATCCACCCGACCGCGATGTACGCCCGCTGTGACCCCTCTGCGCGCGTGAACCACGTTACGTGTCGCCGAGCATCAGCCAACTCTTCATCTATTTGCGCGGTGAGTGGCACGAGATGGGCATTGACGCTGCAACAGCACCGACGACGCTATTGCTGCTACCACACTACTCTTCACCACGCTAGCAGTGACTGCACACACACACAAACGCGCGCACGGACAACCCCCCAACTGCAGCGCTTATGCAACAGCAGGCAGCAGTGAGTGGCGCGCAGAGCGCCCAACCTCGTCTCCCCGTCTCCCTCCATCCACCATCCCCCCACCACCACCGCCACCACCGCCACTCTAGTCACGGAGCACGTCACGAGCACCACCAACCACCCCATGTCCAGGATAATGAGCTGCTGGCTCTGATGATGTCCATTGGCGCTGTACACAATTCGTACGGCATCATTTGCAATCTTACGCGTTCTATATACCCCCCCCCCCAAATGTGTGTTTTTGTTGCGTGTGGATACGTGAATTGACTTGATACCAAACGCGTTTAAACAATGTTACAAATTGCTGAGGTTGTGTTATGATTTTTGCAAGGCTTTCAGAAATAAGTTGCTGTAACTTGGTTTCACATCCATGGGTTTGTTGAATCGTTTGCACCAAACCGGTTTACTGTATTTTTGTCTTCTTCCACGTAAAAGGGGATTTATACCCCACGTGCCAATCGTGTAAATAATACCCCTCGCTTGTTAGTTTTATCGCATTACTCTCTGAATTAACTTTAGAGCAATACATTAATTGATGATTCCAAAAATAAATAATGGCGTGGGTGAACAAACTTGTCCTTCATACAACACTTTACAACTACAACCATTGGTCGATATGTCAATCATCACCTTTAATATAACCAATACATACATCAACTAGAAATATAGAGTCTCTCGCAAGACAGACCCGGAGCAAGGCACACCGGATAGACATATTCATCGGAAAAAAACCCTCGAATATTCTCTACATTTGCAAGTAGAAAATGTTTTGCATTTTTCGCACACAAAAGCCTGATGTTGTGGGGAGACAAAGTCACGTGGCCTCCTTACATAGCAGTGGCCACAGTCGCCTGATCACGACATGCAGGCATTGTCCTGTGCATGAACGTGCTGAATTATTTAGTAGGTATACAGTGTAATTATTAACATTCATGTACAGCCCGTCGAGAATCGTGATATGGACGTGTTTGTGCCAAATGAAGCGGCACACTTGTGGCTGGGGGCTTCTCACGAGATCAGCAGTCCGCGTGTTTGCTGGTGATTACCAAAGCGCTTCGCCCACTACGATGGGAAAAGTTAAAGAGATCGTGACATTGCCGAGGGTAGCACATTTAAATGATGATTTGTTTAAACCCACAAGTGCTTGTAACGGTACTTTTGTCAAGCCGCTGCTTGATGAGGGTCTCACCAAGCCGTGCAGATCGATGGGGTTATTTAACCATACTTCACCGCGCTGGTCAAAGTGGGGTTGTGAAGGCAGGAAGCACAGACGTGGGAGCATATAAGTACAATCCAACAATTGATGTATTTATTTTTCGAACTGGCCCTCTGCTACCCACAGTGTAGCTCCGCACCTAAACTAAGAACAATGTAGATAAATAATTGCCCTTATGTTCATCACAGTTTTGCCAAAGTCTGCATCAAAGAGTGGAAATACATTTCAAACGGGGCACACCTGTACCGGTTAAACGATGGACACGTTAATGAATCGGTGATATAAGGCTGGGCGAAAGAACGTTTTCATCACATGTACGGGTTATTTTTAGATCCCTCATATTTTTTTGCCGCGGGTGTTGACGGTGGCGCAATGATTAATAACACTGTGCACATGAACTCGGCGACCTGAGTTTGATTCTCAGCCACGCCTAGCATCAGTGGCGAGTGATAAATGACCCCCGTATCCTGTGCCCCATCGTCAGCCACCGGCATTGAGCAGCAGAAGCAGCAAGCACCGTGGTAGCATCAGGGTTACGAATTGTGGACACAAAACTCCGCATGACCGGCACGGTTTGAGGAATTCTTCATCCAGCGGTGGATTGGCCAAATTGTCCTAAATGTTTCTTTCATGTATTTCTGTATGATTATGTAATGCAATTAAAACATATATTGGGTTAGTATGACATAATAGTTTTAAATGGGTGAAATAATTTAACACGGTACCCTTATCATTGGTTTTGAAAATTGCATAACACATGTTGTCATTGTATTGATATCAACACCCTATATTGGATATTTGTTGATCCAGGATAATAACAGATACGTTGAACTTGTTCTTACTTCTGTTGTTTATTGCCTGTAGTAATGATAATAGAGCTGGCATGTCGCCTGGTTGTGAGCCAGTGATATATCAAAGGGTTACAAAGCAGCAGTGTGGTGTTCTGGGTCTTGCTATTCCATATTGTACCCTGGGGTGAAATTCTGAAAAAAAGATCAATACATTTAATCAAAACTGGTGCAGTCCTCTTGCTAGGTCAAATATTGACTATGATTTAGGAATGTACCTATTTTAGTACTTTAATGCAAATGATAATGCTAAAGTTATGAAATAGAATACGATCTGCAACAAATTGAAGTCCATTATTCATGAACTGTTGGAAAAATGTGAGCAGTCATATCACATTGTCGTTTTTGTATATTTTAAAGTAAAATAAAAACGTGTATCGGAGGAAATGTGAAACGTGCTGTACAACTAACGGACAATTAAATTTAGATTTAAGTAATGTTATTATTTAGCAGTATTTTCGAAGGAAACCTGGGTGCATTTTTACTCATCCTTTTGAGCTATGTCATAGCAATTTGTAAACTCAATCATTGTGTAGAGGTGATACGCGCTGGGATTAGAGATCGTATGCCAGCGCGTGATGATTGGCTGTGTAGGCGGTGACGTGCGCTGACGGTGGAGGATCAGGGGTCAGCGCGGGGTCGTGGGTTACGGGGTACTGATTGGCTGTGGGCCGGTGACGTGCTGAGAGGGAGTGATCGGGTGGCAGCGCGGTGTGATTGGTGGAGGAGTGTTAACACGCGCTGGGGAAAACGGATCGTAGAGAGAGTGCGTCGTGATTGGTTCATTAAGGAGCGATACTCACGTTGAAGTACGCATCAGCTCCGCCTCTCGTGAGCAGGGGCTATAAAAGGGGATGCACACAGGCGTGAGGGCAGTGTGTGTAACCAGCGAAGAATGAAGACGGGGATGAAGACCTAGGGCCCTGCGGTACCTAGTCCCGCTGTCCTAACGGGACCGGGACTCTGTGTAACCCAGAGGCGAGTGTAGTGTGTGTAGCCATAGGCATAAGGTCTACACGAGCCGAATGCAGTGTGTGTAGCCAGGGACATAGGGTCTACACGAGTCGAGTGTATTGTGTAGCCAGGGACATAGGGTCTACACGAGTCGAGTGTATTGTGTAGCCAGAGGCGTAGGGTCTACACGAGTGAAGGGTATCGTGTGTAGCCAGAGGCCTAGAGTTTACACGAGAGTAGTGGAGTGTGAAGTCGGAAGAAAGGAGACTACACGTTGTATTTTGACACGTAAAGATTTAATAAAAAGTGTGTTCCCGTCAAGAAGTTCCTGCCGTCAATTCCCATACTTCAACTGGCGTCAGAAGTGAAACGGTCTTCCAAGCATGGATACAAGGAGGAACCGTCGGACCCACGGGATTGACCACGGGGACAACCTCGACGACGCGGGCCAGCTGGCATCGGGGAGAGAGGAAGAGGAGTTGCCCACGGGGCAGGATCCGCCGACGGCGCCGGACGAGCGACGGGGGACTGATGCCGTGCTTCGCGAAGCGCACTCCCGTCTGGCGGAGCTGCTGCTCGCCGCCGCGTCCATCCTGGCGGAGATCAGCTCGTCGGGAGGAGCGGGAACGGCGGCCGACGTTCTGCAGGGACGCCCTGCAGATTCCCGCCAAAACGATTTGCCGATGGCCGCCATTTCATCTGCACCGACTTTTGGCGGGAACGGCCATCACCACGTGGCAGCGGTTCTCCATGCGCGCCCGCTGACGTCACCAACGCGTGCGGCGGACCGCCATCACACACCCGCCGAGGGGGCCGCCATCTTACACACCGACGGGGCGGCAGAGAGGAAGCACGAGGAGGAGGACGACTTCATCTTTCAGCAGCGCCTTCCCACGTTGTCAGCCTTCAAGGCGGAAGGCGGGGATTGGAGCCAATTTCAGCGCAGATTTTTGGCGCATCAGGAGATGTCCGCCTGGTCCGACGCTACGGCACTGCGGGCACTGCCTGCCATGCTGGATGACAACGCGCTCGCGGCCTTCACGTCCGCACGCAGGTCGGACCGCTCCACGCTCAAGGATGCGCTGGCTCTCATGGCCAAGGTCTATGGTCCTCCCTCGGCGTGCCGCCATCATTTTTATGCAAGACGGAAGGCGGACACGGAGACCGTGCTCGCCTACCGCACGGCGTTGCTTGCTCTCGCCGACGCCGCGTTCCCTCGTATGGACGAGGAGGGCCAAGATGCCATGGTTTTGGAGCAGCTGCTCAAGTTGGCGCAGGACCTGGGGGTCCCCATCAACACGGCCGATGAGACCGATATTTCATCATTACGGGTCGCCACAAGCATACAAGCGCACGAGGTCCTTCAACGTAAACAGGGAGTCGTCTGCAACGCTGCCGTGGCCTCAACTCCGGGCCCAGTTGTCACCGTGCCCCAAGTCGTCAGCCCACGAGAGGAGGCGTTCATCGCGGGACGACCGGGGGACTGGAGATCGGGGGGTCGTTCGCCTCTGCGAGCGGCCCGCAAGCTGGAGCAACCGAGATCTCCGACGACTGTCATCACCTGCTATAACTGCGGCCTCCGGGGCCACGTGGCCTCCGGTTGCCGCGCCCCACGTCAGCGCGCCATGGGACCTCGGCTGGACGACGACCAAGGCCCCAAGTCGTCCCTGCAAACCCCGGCAAGTCGCGGCACCTCACATGCTCGGCCCGCATACTCGGCACATATGGGTCGTCGCGTTGCGGCGGGGGAGAGCCGAGTAGAGTTCGGGGATTCGGTTCAGAGAGGGCGATTCGGCCGGGACCGGGGAGACATTAAATGGTCGGAGTTGGGGCACAGAATAGTGGCTGCCTCAGCGGGTTCATCCGTCGTTACCGGATCTATTGATGGGGTCGAGGTCAGGGTGTTAGTGGACACGGGGGCATCGGCG